TGCATAACTTGTTCCAACTCTTGAGTGCAGGTGGGCATCTCTCCTCCAAAACCTGGGTTGGGCTATAGCTAGAATCAAAATGGATTTCACTATATTTTACAGAATCCTAACATCGTATTGTTGAAAAGGGCCCTGAGCTCAACATTATCTATGCTGGTTTCTTCTGCTCCTGATAGAAAGGCAGGGATATGCAGTGAGTGAATGAGTGAGATCTAGAAGGTACAAATGTTCAAATCTGGCAAATTTTGGATTGACACCCATTCAGTTGCAAATGGGTGGGATAGACAGTAGATGGCAGAGATTATCTTGTCCAAATCATTTCTTTTTTTAAACAGAACGATAGAATAACAGAATTAGAAGGGACCTTGGAGGTCTTCTAGACCAACCCCTTGCTCAATCAGGAAACCCTACAACGTTTCAGACAAACGGCTCTCCAGCCTCTTCTTAAAAGTCTCCGTTGTTGGAGCACCCACAACTCCTGAAGGCAAAACGTCCCACTGATTAATTGTTCTCAATGACAGGGAATTTCTCCTTAGTTCTAGGTTGGGTTCTATCGTTGATTATTTCCCATTCATTGCTCAGTAAAGTTAGGTTGCAGTGCTCCCTTGCTGTGAAGATAAAAGGGGAGAGGGCAGAAGACAGAGGAACACATTTCTGATTTAAACCTCTCCCTTGACATTGGACCTCTCTACTTCCGTGATGGCGAACCTGTGGCATGCGTGCCACGGGTGGCACACACAGCCCTCTCTGTGGGCACGTGCACCATTGCCAGCTGCTCTTCCGGGTTCCGTTGTATGCATGCGCTGGTTGAACTGGCCAGTGAACCTGTGTGTGGCCGAACCCTGAAGAGAGCAGCTGCATCCATTGCGCATGGATGCAATGGAACCCAAAAGAGAGCAGCTGGTGACTGTACGCACATGTGCACCAGCCAGCTGCTCTCTTCCGGGTTCCGGTGCGCCAATACGTGCACTTCAGTTTTGGTACTTGGTGCCAAAAAGGTTAACCATCACTGCCCTATTTCATGAAGCATGATTTCCCTCCCTCACTCCCCCCCTCTCCCTTTCTCTCTCTCTTTCTCTTTCCCTCCTATTCCTGCAAAAATGTTTAGTTCAAACGAAGCTATTTTCCCTTGAAAAATCTTGGTTGATTCCCTTGTGATGATGACGAAAATGTTGACGATGACAACATTATCAGTAATGATGCATTGGCGCCAGCACAGTTGCTGTCCTGGAACATTTCTTCCCTGAGTGATTTTTGCAAGATCAGGTGTTTTTACATTAGATTCATGACTGTCCTTAATCTTCTGTGGATGAGATTGTGCCTTTGGGTTACTGGGCTGAATCCGATGGAGTTTGCTTCTCCTGAAACACCTGGTCCCACGTCCTGTGCCATCCTTACAGTCACAAGGAACATTTTTTCCCCTCGAAACATCAGCTCTAGAGGTGAAGAGGAAAAAAACCCCACCCTCTTCTTCATTCATGGAATCCAAACATTGATTTTTAAAAGCTGTTAATTGCCTTTGACTTTCCTTTTAGCAGAAAAGCTGGGTAACAATGTGTTTACATTATAAATGTCCACAGACTCCATTCTTTTCTTTCAAGGATTTCATCAACATACTTCTACATAACATAACATAACATAACATAACATAGCATAACATAGCATTAACATAACATAACATAACCCTTCCACTCCTGGTAGAATAGAATAGAATAGAATAGAATAACAGAGTTGGATGGGACCTTGGAGGTCAAGTGTGATTGGACACACAAGGAATTTTGTCTTTGGTGCATATGCTCTCTGTACATAAAGAAAAATAAAATAGAATACATTCATCAAGAATCATAAGATACAACACTTAGTGATAGTCTTCGATTGCTAATAAGTAATCAAATTATACTAGGAAACAAATAAAACAATATAAATTGTAAAGATATAAGCAACATGGCTATAGTCGTAAGTGGGA